TTCAGTAGGAAGTTTGTCCAACAGTTCCCTGCAGACTGTGAGAAATGATTCCTATGTTTGTGACTACTGCAGCCACTGTGGTCCTGGGGACACCCTCAGGCCATGACTGACATAGGTAGCTCATCCTAAGGGGAGAAAGGAAGTAATCCCATGAGCTTTGAACTTGATTTAGCAGCATATTGGAATTCTGTGGCTCTCAAGACTGACACTGACTGCTGCTGTCATGCAGCTGTGATACAAGCTGGTACTCAGGCAGGAAGTACATGTGCCCATCTATCATTGATGTAGAGGCTAACACCATATGAATCACCCAGGAGACAGATGTATGAGTCTGAGACGGAATCATTTGAATACAGTCTCCTCATTCCCAGTTTGTTGTCTATGTATTTTATACTAATGAGAACGGGAGAAGGGTATAAATGCAAAACTGTCCCTTCTACCTCCATGATGGAGTTCTCACTATTAACAAGTTTCATTTTGTCTTCCCCGTGCAAGTATGTTAATGTACTTTCTCATAGTCATCTCTCATTGCCAACCTCAAGGGTTCTGTCTCTTCCCGCATCCAGTTTTATGTCTTGTGCATTTTTTAAATCTTGATTCCACATGACCTGTCTTGAAGCTCACATTCTTTCTTCTGCTTGATAAATTTTCCTACTGATGCTCTCTGTCAAAAGAAAACACTGTCTTTGTCTTTTTGAGTCTGGCTTGAGCTCTGCAGGTCCCATCCCATCCCTGACAGCAGCAAGGACAGAGACACAGCTCCACACTGCCACCTCCAACAGCTGAGGGGCCCCTTCTGTGTTTGGCGGACCTTGACTCAGGTGAAACTGAACCCTTGTCTTGACACAGAACAGAATTCCAGTATAAGCCAGTATGAAGCAGAGTTGGGGTTTGTTAAAAAAAAACATTTTTTCCCCAAGGGGCTGAAGAGCTATGTTCGTGGTTAAAGGTACTTACTGCTCTTGCAGAGGACCCAGGTTTGATTTCCAGCACCAACATAGTGTCTCACCACCATCTGTAACTCAAGTTCCAGGGGGTTCAATGCCTCCCTCAATCTCCTTGTACATGATGTAATCCACACACTAGGCTAAAGCACTTACATATAAAATAAAATAAAAATTTCAAGGACATTTTAGCATAGGTTTTTAAGGGCTAGGAGAAAGAACATCACTCTGAAAGGAAGACCCGCCCAATGGTATGAGAAGGGCTCTTCAAGAGTCCTTTCAGTAGCATGCACATTTTTGGAGGGTTTTGAGGTCACAGCTTTCAAAGAGGTTCCATGGAATCACAGGGTGATTGCTCAGTGTAACTGACAGGATTACAACATTGCACAGAGACAATGGACTTTAGGACAGCTTTATTGTGAGTAAACTCAACAGTCTTGTGAGGATCCCAGAAACTATTTAGGAATAAAGCCATATAGGTCACAAGCGCTTGGGCCTTAAGCATGGTTTGGTTCATTACTATTTTAGCATAAAATATATTTGCGTGAAAGGATCATTGCCTCTGCACTGGCAAACTTCCCAGAAATGTTATAAGTTATGCTAAGATTCTTGATCTTCAGTTGATAACAGGCCTCATTCAACTCCAGTGAGGTGTCCCATAATTCTCATCTCCCCATTCTGCCTCACTTTTCTGCAAGTGATATAATCCCATTCTTCTTTGAAGTGTGACTAAAACCTGCCACACATCTGTCCATAGACACCTAGGCTGACTCCATATTCCGGCTATTCTGAATGGCTCATCAATAAACAACACACAGGTGTCTGTGGTGTGCTGACTCAGATTGCTTAGAGTGGACATAAGAAGGGGTATGGTTGGTGATACAGCTGGACTGCAAGATAGTCCCATTTTTAGCTTTTGAGGAAATGCATCACTGTTGACAGAGATTTCTGTCCTGCCTGGTCCTTTTATCAGCTAAGCATTCTCATCTTGCTTCCTCTGCATCTGGGTTACAACTGCAGACTCAACCTTTCCTCTTCCCAGAATTCTCCTGTTCTCATCCCCCTGCCTAGTAGCCCATCTACACTACTCCCTGCCTGGCTACTGGCCAATCAGTGTTTTATTAAAGCAATACAAATGACAAATCTTTACAGGACACAAGATCATTGTCCCACAGCACAGCACCCATTCCCACAGTGTCTGGTTTCATTTTTATTACTACCAGCAGTGCGAGGAGTCCTTCTTCATCTATACACCCTCACTAAGGAAATCCTAGTCCTGGTTTTCTTGAGGATCGGTCTAAAGGGCTTTTTATGTTTAACTTATTCTACTTCTCTCTATGCTCTGGATATTAATCCCCTGAAAGATGTGTAGCTGGCAAAGTCTTCCTTCCATTCTGTAGGCTGTCTTGCCTCCCTGTGAACTGCTCCCTCTGTACCTATTTGCCAACGCTTGCTGTAACTTCCTGAGCTATTAAGTCCTTTCCAGAGAGTGCCTGCCTGTATATCCAGCTTGAGGGGTCTCCCCTGCCCCGAGTTTCCAAGTCTTACATCATGGTCTTGCTGCAGTTACGTTCAGTCATGGATGAGCTAGCATAGTTTTCTTGGATCTTTCCTTAGCATGCATGTAGGTGTAGACAGAAGCATGACATGTGAGAACCAACAGATACATGACATACATGTACATGTCTAGGCAATTATCCAGATTTTCAAAAAATTCAGGGGGGATCTCATCCTCACTCTACCCTCTTGACATCATTCGGGCTCACTGCCTGAAGCACCTGAGGTAAAAGATGGATTCCCAGAATAGTGCCACCTTCACAGACCCAAAACTGAGTCAAGGGAACTGAAGACGTGTTCAGAGGGAAGAGCTGTTTTTAAGAGCTGCTGAGCAGTTAAAATAATGACCATGTCTGGGAGTCGGAGCTTTGAGGGAAGGAGGAGAAAATCCTCCCCTAGAGAGGCTGCGAGTTCCCGGTCTTCAGAACTACCATGGAGCCAGATACTGCTTTCAGTTCTTGGTTTGCATTTGGTGGTGTGACAGGTGGTACACAGCTGTGGAGGTCAGGGGACAATTTTGCAATGCTTTTCTTCCACAGTGTGTGTTCTGGGGCTTCCTTCTCAGACCACGAGGGTTGGCCACTCTGTTCCTTCTGAGTCCTCTGCCCAAGCTTTAAAAAGTGACCATAACTGGGAAAATGACAAGCAAACCACTACAAAGCTCTCTTTGCTTGGTGAGATTCACATTCTTTTGTCTTCTTGTGTCTTTGCAAAGCTTTAGTTCAACCCCACACTTCCAAAACGGTGTTTGTTTTTCCCTCAGGTGGGTTGTCAGGATTCTCAGAGTGATGGTGAAGGAACAGCTCCCAAATCTCTAATCCTAAAGTACAGTTTTGTATTTGGGGTTGTTGTAGAAACCATCAAAGTAAATCATTGAATTATGAACCTGTGTCATACACAGATTTTTCACATATTCTACAGTTCATAGGGAACTAATCATAATTTCCGAACTTTTCTATTAACAAGAAATACACCACTAGCTTAATTTAAATGTTTCAACCAACTACACGTTCCTGGAGGGGAGACTATTTGTTCATAACCTGTCACTATTTTTAAGTATGACAAGATTCACAAGGTAAGTTTTTATTTAGGTTTTTTACATTAATTTAAAGCAACATTACAATGTCGCTTCCTTCCATGTAACATCTTTTTCCATATTTGAGCATCTTAAAGCTGCAGGGAATAACAGACTTTTTAAAAATGAGCTCCTCTGGGCCAGAGTGGCATTTTAACATTTTGGTACATTAAACCAACTAAAAAGTTTTCTTTACAATGAAATCTACAAGTCACCAATGTCAAGGTGACCCAGAGACTGAAGACAGCAGCACAAATTACAGTTAAAAAATATATAGTCGAGAGACGGCTCAATGGTTGGGAGTTCATACTGCTCTAGCAGAGGACCTGAACTTGATTCCAAGCATGTATAAAGAGCAGTTCCCAACCACTTATAACTCTAGCTTCTGGAGGATGCAACACCCTCTTTCTGCCTCCCTGGGCACCTGCACTTACATGCTCATACACACACACACACACACACACACACACACACGCAATTAGAAATAAGAAATAAGTAGTTTTCAAAAGATGAGGTTTTGCTTTCACATTAGGTTCTAAGTCTCTTGGACATAGCTATAAAACTGTTTTGCTGTTGATTTACTTCATTTTTTTTATTATTGTTGTTCTTTATACAAAGCTATGTTTTGGTCAGTGCCTACACAAGTAGATTCCCAACTAAACAAATAACAAACATCTCATATTTTCAACAACTGCGATTTTTACACATTCATGAAGATTTTTTAAAAAAAAAGAAATTAAGAAATTAAACGTTAATCTTGTGTTCCATGTAAATAGAGATTTTTAATAACTCTAATATCATACTGCAAAGCCATTCTCCTTAATTTTTGTGATGTCATGGTGGTGCTTAAATGTTGATGTGTGGAAAGTAAACTTTCAAAAACATCCTCAATGAAGGTTGCTGGGAGGGCTGGGGTTCCAGTTTCTCTGCAAGTTCAGTAAGAAGGAAAGGTTGGCCATAAAGTCTTATGTACTAAATAAATACATATTTATTTATGTATTTTTAATGCATGAGTGCTCTGTCGGCATGTACATCTGCACACCAAATTGTATCAGATCCCAATATAGATAATTGTGAGCGTGGTTGCTAGAAATTGAACTCAGGACCTCTGGAAGAACAAACAGCCACTGCTCTTAACCATGGAGCCATCCCTCCAGGGATTGGTCAATCCTGATGCACAGTCTAGAAGAAGTATTTTACTCTTATTGGTTCCTAGTGGCCTGCAGGAAGCAGGACTGACAGAAAGGCCAACTTGGTGATACCCTGAGAAAAGGACGGTCCACTCGGGCACTAGGACATTGTATCGGGGTGCTCATTCTGCTGTCCTACTCTGTGAACCACAGGTCCTTCTGATGGCACTCCTTCCATGAATCTAACATAAACATCCCTGGCCTCCACGTTCACCTGCACAGCTTTCTTGGGAGATGAAGCCACTTAGCCTCTCTCTACTCGCAGTGACCATCCTTCTTTGCTGTAATATGACTCAGCCTATATTCAGGAGGAACAGGGGTAAGGCACCGTGATCCTGGGTCTGCTTGGGTAGGAAAGCCTTTCCTCTGAGGAAGCCATGGAGACATTGATGCCTGAAGCATGATTCACAGCTCACCAGCTCCTGAGACTCACCTTGTGGTATTCTTCTACAGCTTTAATCAAACCCGGGTACTGCCCAGAGTTTCATCTTTCCTGCCCTTTTGTTCTCCTGTCCCTATGCAAGCGTGATATAAGCTGCAAGGGAGCCAAAAAGTGTTGCTTCTACTACTGTCAGAAGCGCTGTACTGATCCATGGAATACTTTGAATTAGGTGAGCAACCCCGGACGTGTTATTCTTGATGCTTCTTCTAGAACCCATGTGGAGTTCATTGCCTTGTAGGGAACTGCAAACTGTCTCTACCTCTAGATAGTGTGGCAATCAGAGCATCTGAATTAATTAAGACTGTCCAGAGATTGCCCCCTTCCTCAGAAAATATGCTACCATTGCATTGGTGGGTGTCACCCTTTCCAGCATACTAAGAACATCTGAATAAGATTACCCCTAAGTTCCTCAACTGCCACTGAATGTTTCTTATGTTCAGTTTTCCCTTCTCATAGCTTATAGCAATAAAGCATTCCCACTAAACCTTAAATTATGAAGGGATTATGAAATTATAATTTCCTACTTGACTTGCTGTGTAGAGCCGTTCATGGTCTGTCTGCCCCTAGCTCCCTGACAGCACATCTCAGTGTTCTGGAAAGAGAACACATGGTAAGAGTCAGGTCATGGTGACCCCTGACCCAGAACCATGTCCCCAGCACAGTTTGCATCTCATCTTATCTCTGTTCTTTCTAGACAAAAATGAGAAGACGCATTTGGTACAGTCTCAGTCTAGGATAGTTGGCCTCCAGTTCTTCCTCGGTCCTCACAAGCCCTTCCAAGAGTTAAGCATTTGTTAATGAATACAAAACAAAGGAATAAAGAGTTGTGTATTTGTCTATTTTCCAGTACAATTAAGAATAAAAACTACCTTAGGCTGGGATTTTAGAAACCAGAAAGGTTTACAACACAGCATTGCAAGAAATACTTGAAAGAATGTACACAAAACAGAAAGGAAGTTCAATTATGAAGAACATAGGAAAAATTTATTTCATGAGAGAAATAGGTGAATTCTTATATACTCTCCATTGATGTGACAAAACGCATAACTATAAAGAAAGAAGGGTGTGTCTGGGGTCACGGTTTGACAATGCTACCCATCACGGTGAGAATGGTACAGGGGAACCTGATATCTGACAAATCAGACTTTAAAACAAAATTGGTCAAAAGAGATAAGTCATCCAAATTCAAAGTCAAAAAGAAACTGCAGAGTTAAACTATACAGTAGGTCAAATAGACTTAATTTGGATGTCTATAGGATATTCCACCCAGTGGACTTTGTTCTCAGCAGAATTATCTAAAACAGGCTACATTATAGGTCACAAAACAAACTTAATAAATAAAAAGTAATCAAAACAATTTCTTGTATATTATCAGTGAAACTATGTTGGAGGAGTCCAATTGTTGGTTCCCACTGCCTGGTGGCTTAGACTCGAAAATAATCACACAGAAACTGTAATAATTCAATCACTGTTTGGCCCATTATCTCTAGCTTCTTGTTTGCTAACTCTTACATCTTTTTGGGGGGGGGGGTTCGAGACAGGGTTTCTCTGTAGCTTTGGTGCCGGTCCCGAAAGTAGCTCTTGTAGACCAGGCTGGCCTCGAACTCCCAGAGATCCGCCTGCCTCTGCCTCCCGAGTGCTGGGATTAAAGGCGTGCGCCATCACCGCCCGGCAAACTCTTACATCTTAATTTAACTCATTTCTATTATTCTATGTATCACCACATGGCTGTGGCTTACCACACATGGCTTCTTTCCAACTCCTCCTTCTTTCTCCCAGCATTAAGTTTAGTTTTCCCTGCCTACCTAAGTTCTGCCCTGCTATAGGTCCAAAGCAGTTTCTTTATTCATTAATGGTAATCACAGCACACAGAGGGAAATCCCACATCAAAACTAGAAGTCAAGAGCAAGAAAAAGCATACTTGGGGACTGAATAATACATTCTTAAATAAAGAGATAAGGGAGAAAAGAGCTCATAGGACAAAATAAAAATGGGAATGCAACTTTACCTTTACAAAGCAGCTAAGGAAATTCCAAAGGCAAGTTTGCAGCTACTATAGTTTATACAGTGAGTCATTGTGAAGATTGGGTGAGAAACTTAAACCATCAAACAGTCAAATTTAAATTAAAGCACCATTTAGGAGACTCTCAGGAATACAGCTAAGGCAGCTCTAACAATACTTACATTTATCATCGCTTGCCTTCAAAAAATTACAAGAAAAACCTCAAATAAATAACTTGAACCTCAAGGTCCAAGGCAAACAATGACAAGCTAAACTCAAAGCAGTGGGTGGCAAGAAGTACTAAAGATCAGGGCAGAAATGTATTAAATAGAGATGAAAAGGAAAGCAACTACAGAGCCACAGAATCAGGACATGGTACTGGCACAAAAACACATCCAGACCAGTGACGGGGGAACAGAAGAACTAGAAATAAACCTGTAAGGATACAGCCACCTGAGTTTTTCCAAAGATGCCAAAATCCACTTCCCCAGATCTAGTATCCATAGCACATATGTGGTAGCCCACGTGTGGCTCAGTTTCCATCTGAAGCCAATTCTGACTTTTAGAAAAGTCATTTTAGTTCAAGCTTACCTGCTCTATTTAGTCCAGTATCCTTGAGGGCTGTGAGAAAGTTCCAACTAAGTCCATAGGAAAAAGCATTTTGCCCACGAGAAAACACACTCTCTAGTAGAAAGAATACTGCTGATGCCAAACCTTAGGAATATCGAGATAGAAACTGAAACTGCTTGCTCAAGGACAGGAATGGTCTATGGTTAGATACTGACTGTCTATGCTGGGCTTTGTTCTGCTATTGTATATAAGCAATTTCTGAAATAAACTCGGGGCTGTGCAGAGGAAGCTGCCAGTCTCCCGAATCTATTCTGTGCTTTCTTTCAGTTGGTCATTTCCTTAATCCTCATACCCCTACCCACATACCCCCGGCTGGTTTGATTGGAGCAGGCTCTGACAACTGGCACCCAACATGGGGCTGGACATGGGGCTTTTCATGGTAGGCACTGTGGGTTAAAAGAATACATTCAGATTCAAGAGCCCATGTAGGTGAAAGTGAGTAAATGCACGGTGTAAATTAAAAAAGTGTAACTTGAGTTTAAATGTAAAGATAATTATGGGTCAAGGAAATAACAAACCGTTATTTGTACATTTGTTTAAAAATACTTGAAAAGCCAGAGGTACTAAAGTAGGAAATCAACAACTGGGTAAATTTTTAGAGTTTGTACATTTACTTATAGGCATTTTAAAGGTTAAGGGTACTAAGGAAGGGAAACAGCAATTCCTTCAGCTTTTAAAATATATAAAGAATGTGTGCCCCTGAATCTAGAGATTTAAAAAGGTATGAATGAGAGCTCTTTGTCTTGGTCTGTGTTTTGACTGTTAAACTACATTGTTGTTCTGTTTTATGTGTTCATGTCTCTAAAAAGCTCAAGTGGTACTGGTACCTGGTTGTCTGTCATTATTGTTTGTTTTTGTCTATTAACTTCCTTTGTTGGCCTAGAGGAGATGAGGCAGGGAGCCTCTGCCTCTATCCCCCTGAACAGTTTATTGGATCAGTTCCAGGATTTTGGGCCACCTCCCTCCACGGTTCGGGGGCGCGCATGCGCAGCTGGGCAGAGAGACTACTATAGGGAGACACGCTCACACGAACGGGGCAGTGGGGAACTGACTGCTTGTGGTTAAAAAAAAAAAAACAAAACTGCATATTTGTGAAACAGAAAACCTGAGCTTGTGACCAGAGAAGTTAACAAATTGTTTTTCAAAAACACTGGCAGCCAAGGACACACTCTGTGCGCACCGGTGCTGCTCCCCCTCCTTCTCTTCCTAAGCCAAGTTCTTCACTGTGATAACACTCAAGGTCTCTTCTGCTGGCCAGCAGCTTCCCACCTTAACCCTTTTCTGCCCTGATATTGCTTTAAATAAAAAAAATGTTAAATGATAGTAATCTGTATACTTTGGGAAGCTTTGGCTTTAAAATAAAAGTCAAAGATGCATTCAGTTTGGGAAAAAATTACGCTTTTGTTTTCACAGGAAAAAATATATCAGTTTTAGTCATTTATATTCAATGGGTTACAGATACTTAACATCTTTTTTTAAAAATTTGGTTACAAATTATTGATTAAAATAAAAAAAACTGACACACCCTGCCCCCAAATCCTCCTATCCTCCTGCAAACTTAGTGGGACTCTGAAACACACCTTGTTCCAATACTGAGGCACAACATCTCCAAACCTACGGGAGAAAGCAGTGCTAAGAGGAACGTTCATAGCACTAAGTGCCCACATTAAAAAAAAAAAAAAAACAAGAAAGCTCATATTAGTGACTTAACAGCACACCTGAAAGCTCTAGAACAAAAAGAAACCGACTCACCCAGGAGGAGTGGATGACAGGAAATAATCAAATTGAGGGCTAAAATCAATAAAATAGAAACAAAGAAAACAAAACAAAGAATCAATGAAACAAAGAGATGGTTCTTTGAGAAAATCAACAAGATAGAAAAATCCTTGTCCAAACTAATCAAAAGGCAGTAAAATTAACAAAATCAAAAATGAAAAGGGGGACATAACAACAGACACTGAGGAAATTCAGAGAATCATTAGGTCATACTACAAAAATCTGGACTCCACATAATTGGAAAATTTAAAAGAAATGAACAATTTTTTAGATAGATACCACATACCAAAATTAAATCAAGACCAGGTGAGCAATTTAAATAGCCCTATAAACTGCAAGGAAACAGAAGATGTCATCAAAAACCTCCCAACCAAAAAGACCCCAAGGCCCGATGGTTTTAGCGCAAAAGTCTACCAGAACTTCAAAGAAGAGTTAATACCTATACTCCTCAAAGTGTTCGAAACAGAAGGAACATTGTCAAACTCTTTTTATGAGGCTACAGTTACCCTGATACCAAAACTACATAAAGACTCAACCAAAAATGAGAATTGCAGACCAATCTCACTCATAAACATGGATGCAAAAATATTCAGTAAAACACTAGCAAATAGAATCCAAGAACACATCAAAAAAATCATGCACCATGATTAAGTCGGCTTCATCCCAGAGATACGGGGCTGGTTCAACATACGAAAATCTATCAACTGATCATCATATAAATAAACTGAAAAAAACATATGATTGTTTCATTAGATGCTGAAAAAGCATTTGGCAAAATTCAACACCCCTTCATGATAAAGGTCTTGGAGAGATCAGGGATACAAGGAACATGTCTAAATATAATAAAAGCAATATACAGCAAGCCAACAACCAACATCAAACTAAATGGAGAGAAACTCAAAGTGATTCCACTAAAATCAGGAACAAGACAAGGCTATCCACTCTCTCCATATGTCTTCAACCTAGTTCTTGAAGTTTTAGCAATAGCAATACGACAGCAAAAGGAGATCAAGGGGATTCAGACTGGGAAGGAAGAAGTCAAACTTTCATCATTTGCAGATAATATATAAGTGACCCCAAAACTGTACCAGAGAACTCCTACAGCTGATAAATACCTTCAGTGATGTGGCAGGATATGGTACCAACTCAAAAAACTCAGTAGCCCTCCCATACACAAATGATAAAGAAGCTGAGAGGGAAATCAGAGAAACATCGCCTTTCACTGTAGCCACAAATAACATAAAATATCTTGGGGTAACACTAACTAAAGAAGTGAAAACCCTATTCAACAATAACTTTAAAACGTGGAAGAAAGAAACTGAAGAAGATATCAGAAAATGGAAAGATCTCCCATGCTCTTGGATTGGTAGAATCAACATAGTAAAAATGGCAATCCTACCAAAAGCAAACTATAGATTCAATGCAATCCCCATCAAAATCCCAACACAATTCTTCACATTGTGAAAAATTATTGTTGAAAGAACAATAATCAACTTCATATGGAAAAACAACCCAGGATAGCCAAAACAATCCTGTACAATAAAGGAACTTCGGGAGGCATTATCATCCTCTGTTACAGAGCTACAGTAACGAAAACAGTTTGGTATTGGCATAAAAACAGAGACGCTGACCAATGGAATCAAATCGAAGACCTGGATATTAATCCACACACCTATGAACACCTGATTTTTGACAAAGGAGCTAAAATTATACAATAGAAAAAAAAGAAAGTATCTTCAGCAAATGGTGCTGGCATAACTGGATGTCAACATGTAGAAGAATGAAAATAGATTCATATCTATTCCCATACACAAAACTCAAGTCCAAATGGATTAAAGACCTCAATATAAATCCGACCACACTGAACCTGATAGAAGAGAAAGTGGAAAGTAGTCTTCAATGGATGGGCACAGGAGACCACTTCCTAAATATAACACCAGTAGCACAGACACTGAGAGCCACAATAAATAAATGGGACCTCCTGAAACTGAGAAACGTCTGTAAAGCAAAGAACACAGTCAATCAGACAAAAAGGCAGCCTAATGAATGGGAAAAGATCTTCACCAACCCCACATCAGACAGAGGACTGATCTCCAAAATATATAACAAACTCAAGAAATTCGACATTAAAATTCTAAATAACTCAATTTAAAAAATGGCATACTGAACTAAATAGAGAATTCAAAACAGAAAAATCTCAAATGGCCAAAAGAACTTAAGGAAATGTTCAACATCCTTAGCCACCAGGGAAATGCAAATCAAAACAACTCTGAGATATCATCTTATACCTGTCAGAATGGCTAAGATCAAAACCACCAATGATAGCTTATGCTGGAGAGGATGTGGAGTAAGAGGAACACTCATCCATTGCCAGTGGGAATGAAGACTTGTGCAACCACTTTGGAAATTAGTATGGCAGTTTCTCAGAAAATTGGGAATCAACCTACCTCAAGATCCAGCAATATCACTCTTGGGCATATACCCAAAAGATGCTCAAACATACTAAAAAGCATTTGTTCAACTATGTTCATAGCAGCATTTGTAATAGTCAGAACCTGGAAACAACCTAGATGTCCCTCAACTGAAGAATGGATAAAGAAAATGTGGCACATTTACACATTAGAGTACTACTCAGCAGTTAAAAAAAAAAGACATCTTGAATTTTGCATGCAAATGTGTAGAATTAGAAAATGCTATTGTGAGTGAGGTAACCCAAACCCAAAAAGGTAAATATGGTATGTACTCAATCATAAGTGGATACTAGCTATAAACAAAGGATATTGAGCCTATAATTTATGATCATTCCCTCCCTTTCTTTCTCCTCTTTTTTTCTGGATAAGGATTAGAATTTTGAAAATTTAGATTCAAAAAGCCATTCAGTGCTCAAAGCCCAGTGAACTGTTATGGAAGCTTGGAAGATAGGAATGAGAAAGGTATAGGGGTCTACAGCCATACCACCCTGAACACACCCAGTTTTGTCTCCTTTCAGGTCTCACCCTCACTCTCCCAGCCCTCTGTCTACTTTACACATACACACAATTAACCTAGAGTCCCATATGAGGAAAAACCATGAAGCATCTGGCTTTGTTAATTTTTTTTTTCCAAGACAGAGTTTCTCAGTATTTCCCTGGCTGTTCTGGAATTCGAGCTATTGACAAGGTTGGCCTTGAAGTCAGAGACCCACTACCTCTGCCTCCTGAGTG